TAGATAGAGAGAGAGAGAGAGAGAGAGAGAGAGAGAGAAGAGAGAGAGAGAAAGCCATGATAACAGTGCTCCTCCTTTCTTACGTTCTTAACATCTTGCGGATGTAAAAGCTAGATAAACAGGATAGATGTGGACATCTTAGTCTGGCTCCGGACGTCCATCCTTTAGTCCTGTAGTTTCTATTTTTCTAGATATTGTCCTACAAGTATACTAAATTATAAGACTGAGATCCTACAAGTTAGTTATGAACTAAAGGTTATGATCACGAAAGTTCCATAAGAAAATTAGAAAAAAATAAATGTACATGCTGTGGAGAAATTTTCTCCAGGAGGGGGGTATCAGCCCCCTTCAGCCCTTTCAGCCCCTTCAGCCCCTTTCAGCCCTGAGGGGCCAAGCCCTCTCAGAAGGGGCGAGCGTCTTGTTTACTGCTAGAGTGCGTAATTGATCACAGATGCTATGCCACGAGCCCAAAAGTGACCTCTGCTCCTTAACAGCGGTTACCTGGAGTTACCTGAGGTTATTCCGGATCAACCCCACCGCGGCGGCCCGTCCACGACCTGGCCTCCCCGAAGGATTTCAGGGCCTGATCAACCAGGCTGTTACTGCTGGCCGCAACTTACGCCAGTCCCGACGTACGAGCCACACCCGGCTTATCCGGCCACTAACTTTAGGTATCTGTCTCAGCTCTCTCTTGAAGGCAGCCAGGGGTTTATTGGCAATTCCCCTAATGCTTGATGGGAGGCTGTTGAACAGTTTTGGCCCCGGACACTTTGTGTTTTTTCTTAGTGTACCATGGCGCCCCTACTTTTATTGGCTGCATTTGCAAATCGCCTGCCCAGTCTTTTACTTCGTAGGGAAGTGATTTCTGTGTGCAGATTTGGACCATTTCCTTCCAAGATTTTTCCAAGTGTAGATTATGATATATCTCTTCCCTCCTGCGTTCCAACGAGTACAAGTCAAGTGCTTTTCAAAGCGAACCCATAGTTAAGGAGCTTGACAGAACTTATACGTGCAGTAAAAGGATCTCTGTACACTCTCTAGATCTGCGATATCACCTGCCTTTGTATGGAGATGTTAATGACATGCAGTATTCCACCTAAGAAACAAGTGATTTGAAAAGGAACATCATGGGCCTGGCATCTCTCGTTTGAAAGTTCTCATTATCCATCCTATTCATTCTTTTGCACGTGCGATCGGGCACTGTTTGTGATCCTTGAAAGTGAGATCCCAGACATTACTACTCCCAGGTCCCCTTACATTATTTTTCTTCCGCTCTATTGTATGGCCGGAGTCAGTAGTATAACCCTGTTCTAGTTATTATCTCCTCCAGTTTTCCATAACGGATGTATTTGGAATTTGTCCTCATTGAACATCATATTGCGGTGTTGCCAAGTGTATTTTTATGAGACAGTACATTCAGAAAATTAGAAAAAATAAATGTACATGCCGTTAATAAAAAAATGGTATATATAATAATAATACTAATAATTATAACAACAACAACAACAAACAACAACAATAATACTAATAAATAATAATATAATAATAATAATAATAATAATAGTAATAATAATAATAATAATAATAATAATAATAATAAATATTATTATTATTATAATTATTATTATTATTATATTTTCAATAATTCATTGATTTCAGTTTTTAGTTTGAGCAATGCCTAGAAACATTTTTTTTGTGCTAAGTAAACTCTGGGCAGCAAGGTTTAACAAATTATTATTACTATATTACTTATTTCTTCTGCAAAAGTGGTCAGTTCCCGTAGGGTTTTGTAAGTAGTTGACTTGGGTCTCAAATGTAGCGCCCTCGGCCTCACAAGCTGAAGGACCGGGGGATCGATCCCGCACAGGTGGAAACGTTGATCATGTTTCCCTATCACCAGTTCCCCCTGGTCACTAGGCAGTAAATAGGTACCTAGTATTAGCTGACTGTATACATATTCCTTGGACAGGGCTGGGTTTGAAATGAGCTGAAGTGTAAGGAGGATAATAGGGCGTTTTTACCCTAGCCCTAGTGACTCGCACGACCAAATACTAATACTTAATGGTTATAATCATAGCCATGAATTTTAAAGAGGTAGACCGGTAAGCCAGTGGAAAGCCTTGGTCAGATGACCAAAAGCTCCAGCTGTGGGTCATCATATGACTAAGACCCGCCTCAGGAAACACTTGTCCTGTTTCCTGATAAATGTTATATCTATAACCAACCACTGAGCTACGGGTTCTCGACATACTGTACCGGAATGCGGTAGAAAAATCCATGCATTCTGAGCACCACTTGTCTAAGTTAGTGACTCGGTTTGTGTTTTTTTGGAAATTATCTTCTCCACGGCCAGGTCTCAGACCAGGTCTCAGACTAGGTCTCAGACCAGGTCTCAGACCAGGTCTCCTAGGCTGTAACATTTTCCTGTTATCTAAGGTGGTTACTTGGTGCTATTTTTTTATTTCCTGTATTTTCAACACCAACTACACCACCACAACAACAAGAACAAGAACAACAACAACAACTACTGTATAACCTGACCAGCTAGGCTGTGGTCCGTACGTCGGGTTGCGTGCGGCCAATAGTAACAGCCTGGTTGATCAGGCCCTGATCCATCATGAAGCCTGGTCACAGACCAGGACGCGGGGGCGTTGACCCCCGAAACCCTCTCCAGGTATACCACCACCACCACCACCACAACAACAATACAACCAGCAACAATAACAACAACACAACCAGCAACAATAACAACCAACAACACAACCAACAACAATACCAACACAACCAACAACACAACCAGCAACAATAACAACAACAACACAACCAACAGCAAAACTAGCAACGGTACCAACAACAACACAACCAGCAACAATAACAACCAACAACACAACCAGCAACAATACCAACAACAACACAACCAGCAACAACAACACAACCAGCAACAATAACAACAACAACACAGCCAGCAACAACAACACAACCAGCACCAATAACAACACAACCAGCAACAACTGCAACAAGACAACCAACAGCAATAACAACAACACAACCAGCACCAATAACAACACAACCAGCAACAACTGCAACAAGACAACCAACAGCAATAACAACAACACAACCAGCAATAATAACAGATGTAACAACACAACCAGCAACAGCAATAACAACAACACAACCAGCAACAACAATAACAACAACACAACCAGCAAGAACAACAACACAACCAGCAACAATAACAACACAACCAACAACAACAACACAACCAGCAACAACAACACAACCAGCAACAACAACACAACCAGCAACAATAACAACAACACAACCAGCAACAACAACAACACAACCAGCAACAACAACAACACAACCAGCAACACTAACAACACAACCAGCAACAACAACACAACCAGCAACAATAACAACACAATCAGTAACAATAACAACAACACAACCAGCAACAACAACACAACCAGCAACAATAACAACACAACCAGCAACAATAACAACACAATCAGTAACAATAACAACAACACAACCAGCAACAATAACAAGAGATGTAACAACAACACAACCAACAACAACAACAACAAAATACAACCAAACCTCTTTGTTTCCCAGCATATTTTTCGCCGAAACTTTGCTACCTCCTGATATTTACAGTCACCAATTTATATACATTTTTTTAACATAAAAGATAACGGATTGCGAAAAAGATTTAAGAGTTCTGGTTAGCAGTAATCTGAAACCAAGACAACAGTGCATCAGTGTTCACAATAAAGCTAACAGAATCCTTGGCTTGATATCAAGAAGCATAAATAATAGGAGTCCTCAGGTTGTTTTTCAACTCTATATATCGTAGATGAATGGTTCAAAGAACCGACACGTTGTTAAATTAGACACATGTGCAACTCTTGGGTATCTATTGAGGAAACGTTTCGCCACACAGTGGCTTCATCAGTCCATCAAGGTTGAGGGACTGATTATCTCATTCTCACTGTTCTTCAAGTTATCCTTCGTATGGACTGATGAAGCCACTGTGTTGCGAACGTTTCCTCAATAAAGATACCCAAGAGTTGCACATGTGTCTAATTTAACAATCTATATATCCTTGGTTAGGCCTCATTTAGATTATGCTGCACGTTCTGGTCACCATATTACGGAATGGATATAAATGCTCTGGAAAAACTACAAAGGAGGATGACAAAGTTGATCCCATGTATCAGAAATCTTCCCTATGAGGATAGACTGAGGTCCTGAATCTGCACTCTCTAGAAAGGCCGTGGGAATTGGGGGGGATATGATTGAGGTGTATAAATGGAAGAAAAGAATAAATAAAGGGGATGTAAATAACGTGCTGAAAATATCTAGCCTAGACAGGGACTCTTAGCAATGGTTTTAATTTGGGAAAAAAATTCAGATTCGGAAGGATATAGGAAAGCATGGTTTGGTAATAGAGTTGTGGATGGTGGAACAAACCCCCAAAGTACAGTTATTGAGGCTAAAACGTTGTGTAGTTTTAAAAATAGGTTAGATAAATACATGAGGGGGTGTGGGTGGGTGTGGGGTTGGACCTGACTAGTTTGTGCTACTAGGTCATTTGGGTGTGTTCCTTCCTTAAGTGAATGTGACCTGCCCTGACTAGGTTAGGGCATTGGCTTAAGCCGGTAGGAGACTTGGACCTGCCTCGCATGGGCCAGTAGGCCTGCTGCAGTGTTCCTTCTTTCTTATGTTCTTATGTAACAGACGTGACGAAATAATTTCTGGAAAGAACGCCAGCAGCCATGATGACTCCTGAACCTTCACCGTCCTTCCTATCTCTGCCGCAATCCTTACAATGCCTGTTTTTGCTATATTAAACATCTATATGTTCCAGAATTTATGTCAAAAGAATCTCTGGGTTACATAGAATAGCGTGGTTTAAGAACTGGGGTTTGAAGAGATAAGGTAAAGGTAGAATAGGGAAATGAAATGTGTGAAAGGTGAAGATAGAAGGGAATGGAGAGGTGTGCGCATGTGCAGATGCGAGTCACGTGACTTATCGTATATATATGGCAGAGGGCGCTGTGGCTGGTTAGTACAGCACACACACTGAGGGAAGACGTGCGAGAGTGTTCAAGTGGCAGTTTGCTTACAACTTTACAAGTGGTATGTTATTTGTGGTTTTCTTGTATAGATGCAGACCTTGCATTGATTTAGTGCGCCTTTATTTAGCAAGTTACTGGCACCAGTGATGAAGTGAAGGAAAATAAAGGGTGGTTATATATTGAAGAAAAAAAATGGCGGTTATACGTTGAAAATTTAAACATTCTCCGTATCTTTGAAAGGCTAAAATATTTATTCAGACGTATGTTTAAAACGGGCCTAAGATACAGATTTCTTTTAAATTAAAGGCCTTGTGAGAGGCGATTTATCCCAGGTCAACTATTTTTTTTTTTTCTAAGTACTCCCGTAGAGGGGCGGCCTGGTGGCTGAAGCTCCCGCTCACACACGGAGGGCCCGGGTTCGATTCCCGGCGGGTGGAAACATTTCGACACTTACACCAATTGTCCTGTTCACCTATCAGTAAATAGGTACCTGGTTGTTAGTCGACTGGTGTGGGTCGCATCCTGGGGGACGAGATTGAGGACCCCAATGGAAATAAGTTAGTCCTCGATGACGCACTGACTTTCTTGGGTTATCCTGGGTGGCTAACCACCAGGGTTAAAAATCCGAACGAAATCTTGCCTCGGCTTATTTCTTACGGGGGTGTTAAAGTACTTTTACGTATGGATTAGTCAGGAACTAGTGATGGTAGAATTGTAGAAATCTCTTGTATAGAGGGACAGCTCTGTATAGCCCTTGTGGTTTAGCGCTTTTTTTTTATTATAATTGGATAGAGGGAGGTTTTAGTAGAGCAATGGAATTTCTTAGGATCGAACTCTATTGCCTAAAGCCTCAGCGCTGTAAATCCTACAGGTTTAAAGCTCCCAGAATATAAAAGGGGGGAATTCTTAGATATAGCTATTGGGTCAAGGCATTGAATAAAATTGTCGGATCAAATCGTCACCCATCATTGCCCAGGTGATGGTTTGACCCTTACAGGTTAATGCTTTTCCATGGTCATGACTAGTTTTCCATTATTCCTAAAGATGTGCGTTAATAATTCAGATTAGATTTCTAGCTATCGTAATTACCTACTATAATTTATCGCGTCCTGTTTTCCTGTGGCTAAAGCTGACGTAGAAATCAAAATTAAAACTAGCTTGTATAGTATCTGTTAAAGGACTTGAGTGTGCAGCAACAGTTTACTTGACCCTGAAAAATCTTGCAGGAACAGCAAACTTGCCAGTCGGGGAAATTGTATGTCCTGTGCTGTATTAAAGGGAAGTGTTAGGTTGGATTATTGCATTCTTAACCCATGTACTATATACCTACCAATGCAAAGGTCCATCTGAAGGAATTTTAAAGTTTATCCATTAAATTAGTAAAACAGGCAGCCCAGTAGGGGAAGGTCCCTCTTCAAGACCTGTTTAATGATTTTTTCTTGTAAAGAAAAATTAAGATTTAGGCAGATCAAACCTGCACCCATCCAGTCTTTTACCTGTCAAATCTGTTCCTGAAGGTACCCAAAGCTCTTAATGATTGGTGTCTCGTTCATAACTTGCCAAACGATTTTTTTTTTTTACACATAAACTGTTCAGTCTAATCCACTGGCAAATCTTACTGGTGATTTCATAAGCTATGACACCCCCCCTCCCCTTATTCTGGTCTTGAATTTGCCCCTCTTCCTGTTTGCCCTCTTGTAAAGAGGGCACAAATTCATTGCCTTGTCTTGTTTGCAGAAAGTTTCTGATAAAGGAGATAAACTTGAAGTACATTGGTTCCTTCTGTAATGTGAATGTTAGCACTGAAAACTGTGGCATGCCACTTATAATGGGTTCATGAGCATTTTTTTTTTCCCCTCCTTGCTATTAAAGTTGAGTACTTTACACCATCTAGAACCCAATGTGCTATCCTGTCGTCCTGGGTTTTGAAAACGTTTCAATAATGCTGCCTGAACAACTTTTACAACTGACCAATACGATTGGCAACCATATTCAGTCTGGTGTTGCACAGATGGTTACCACCCCCCCCCCCCCGCACATGGGTAATTCGTTACCTCTCCCTATAATCTGTGGCAAAAATTGTCCCAACCTTTATAGTGTATTGAAAGCTGTCTGGTCTCATTTTCATAGTGAGATTATAGGTAAGCCCTAGTTTGGTAATAATGCAGATGCATTGAAAACTTCAGGTAGCTTTGAAAATAGTCTTGACAGGCATGAGTGGATGGTTTGAGTTAGACCTACCTACATGAACCAGTACGTTTTGCTGTGCTCCACTATTGTAAGCTATAGGACACTAGTGATTGGTGTACCCATGCCTTTATCACTCCCTGCTTCTTCCCCCCATAATTATACTTTGTGTGGTTAATCCACAAATGTTAAGACTGCTGTGCATTTAAATCATATTTATTATATACCAAAGATTTAGGAAGTTCATTTAGGTACAGGTGCATAATTATGCACAGTAATGTTTAAATTACCTAGGATAACCCAAGCCTTGGGTCCACGAAACCTTATAGATTGTCATTTGTAGTATATAACATTTAAGCTATTTAAATGGTAAATAAAATTAGTTGGCAAAATAATGCTTGCCTTAATAGTTGTAAATTTGGTTTGTGAAGTACATATTCATAAATGTAGTATCTACATTTTGATACTATATGCTGCACATTGTAGAAAATACGAGTATGAAAAACTTAAAAATCTATAGTGCATACATGTGGATAAGAACATAAGAACATAAGAACGAAGGAACACTGCAGAAGGCCTACTGGCCCATGCGAGGCAGGTCCAAGTCCCTACCGGCTTAAGCCAATGCACCCAACCTAGTCAGTCAGGTCACATTGACTTAAGGGAGGAACACGGCAACCGACCTGTTAGCACAAGCTATCAGGTCTAACTCACACCCACCCACATCTACTCATGTATTTATCCAACCTATTTTTAAAGCTACACAACGTTCTGGCCTCTATAACGGTACTTGGGAGTTTGTTCCACTCATCCACAACTCTATTACCAAACCAGTACTTTCCTATATCCCTCCTGAATCTGAATTTTTCCAACTTAAAACCATTGCTGCGAGTCCTGTCTAGGCTAGATATTTTCAGCACACTATTTACATCCCCTTTATTTATTCCTGTCTTCCACTTATAAACCTCAATCATATCCCCCCTAATTCTACGTCTTAGTGAATAAATAGTTATACATGTGTGAATGTATTTCAGATATGTAACTTGCATGTATAATGTACATGCCAACATACATATACAATGGTGCTAAACATGGACAATAAGATGCTCTTCTCTAAGTCAGCCTTGCACTAAGGGAAGCACTCGTGTTCTTGTTTGTAGAGCATGAACTCTTATAGAATTATTTTAATCCCTTAAAAATTATGAAGGCTTAAAGGAAACTAGGCATATTAGTTTATAAATGCAAATTTTAGTTGAAATTATTGCTACCTATGAAATAAGATTTGCTATTCCCTGTATTGACAGGCAAAAGTTGGTTTGGTGAACTTTTAAATTTACTTCAGAATTTTACTAATGGATTGCTTTGCAGTTTGAAATTTAAACCGTAGTGGACTTGAAATTAGTACTATCACTAAACTTTTTTTTTTTTTTTTTTGCAGGTACACAATGCAGATCTTCGTGAAGACCTTGACTGGAAAGACCATCACGCTTGAGGTGGAACCTTCAGATACCATAGAGAATGTGAAAGCAAAGATTCAGGATAAGGAAGGGATTCCCCCTGATCAGCAGAGGTTGATCTTTGCTGGTAAGCAGCTTGAAGATGGCCGTACACTTTCTGACTACAACATTCAGAAGGAGTCTACGTTGCACTTGGTTCTTCGGCTCCGTGGTGGCATGCAGATATTTGTGAAAACCCTTACTGGAAAAACCATAACATTGGAAGTGGAACCTTCAGATAGCATTGAGAATGTAAAAGCAAAGATTCAGGATAAGGAAGGGATTCCACCTGATCAGCAGAGGTTGATCTTTGCTGGTAAGCAGCTTGAAGATGGCCGTACACTTTCTGACTACAACATTCAGAAGGAGTCTACGTTGCACTTGGTTCTTCGGCTCCGTGGTGGCATGCAAATATTCGTAAAGACCCTTACTGGAAAGACTATCACATTGGAGGTAGAGCCTTCAGATACCATTGAGAATGTAAAAGCAAAGATTCAGGATAAGGAAGGGATTCCCCCTGATCAGCAGAGGTTGATCTTTGCTGGTAAGCAGCTTGAAGATGGCCGTACACTTTCTGACTACAACATTCAGAAGGAGTCTACGTTGCACTTGGTTCTTCGGCTCCGTGGTGGCATGCAGATATTTGTGAAAACCCTTACTGGAAAAACCATAACATTGGAAGTGGAACCTTCAGATAGCATTGAGAATGTAAAAGCAAAGATTCAGGATAAGGAAGGGATTCCACCTGATCAGCAGAGGTTGATCTTTGCTGGTAAGCAGCTTGAAGATGGCCGTACACTTTCTGACTACAACATTCAGAAGGAGTCTACGTTGCACTTGGTTCTTCGGCTCCGTGGTGGCATGCAAATATTCGTAAAGACCCTTACTGGAAAGACTATCACATTGGAGGTAGAGCCTTCAGATACCATTGAGAATGTAAAAGCAAAGATTCAGGATAAGGAAGGGATTCCCCCTGATCAGCAGAGGTTGATCTTTGCTGGTAAGCAGCTTGAAGATGGCCGCACACTTTCTGACTACAACATTCAGAAGGAGTCTACGTTGCACTTGGTTCTTCGGCTCCGTGGCGGCCAGTAAATGTTCAAATTAAGACAAATACTCTCTCGGCTTAATGTTATAATTTATAACTTCTGCCTGTTCCTTTAAGTTGTAGGTACTGTATTTTTTTCCCCCCAATATCTTTAATTTTTTTATAATGTACTAGAGCAAAATAAATGGAAGTTCCTTAGTGTAATTTACTTTCTCCCATTTTGTAATTGTGTGAAATAAAGGCCAAGAGGTGATACTTAATGTTTTGTATTTTAATTGTATTTGCAACCTCAGCAGGGAGGTGCATCTTTTATGAATGACGTGATCCTAGACTTGAATTTAATTTATTCATAAATTTCAGAAGTGCTGTGGCTATGAAATGGCAAGTAAATTTTAGAAAATGCCATACTATTAACTATGCCCCCTCGATGGTGTCCTTTAAACCTGAGGGGTTCCTGATGTAAGAAAATTGATATTCCTTGACAAATACTCACTTCCTTGACTAGGCTGGAACACCATGTCTTACAGTTGCCTATACAGTATTCACCCTCTAAAAACAAATTTAGGCCCATTGTTTTAGGTATTCCTGTATTAAAGGCTTTTTTTTTTCTTAAGCCTGTGCTGGTTTTGTAACAGTTAGTATAAATAAGTCATTCTGAAGAGGCTCTCTAAGGAATGACTTTTGCCCATTCAATCGAATAGTATGGGCCCCAATGGGTTTAGTTGCACAATGGAATGACAATGATTTTAACCCCGTCTAGGGAGGATCCTTGATGCTAAAGAGGGCTCTTGCAATAGAGGAATTGATCTTCCCGTCACCCTGAATTATCCTGAATACTGTCCATCCTTGCCCCCACATGTGCAATGTTGGCTATCCTGTGATAAATTTTCCAATGAATAAACTTTACCTCAACTCTAAAGGTGATAATCAAAACAAAATATACACTTTTTTTATGGTTACCCACGCTGTATGCTTGGATTTAGCGTATTAATTGTGATTATTTTAAGATTAATTTCCAGCTTGCATAACTTGATTTCATTTAAGATTTCTGGTAAAAGAAAAAAAAAAATAGACAAATGTCTAATTAAACTGGTACGACAAGTTAGGCTAGCAGCAATTTAATCAACTACAGCAAATTCAGGTCCACCGCTTCTTACACATGGTAAAACACCCGAGGAAAGTTTCCCCGCTTCTGGTAAAGCAGAGGAAGAGGCTTTTTTTTTTTTTTTTTTTTTTTTTTTATCCCTGGGCCATGCTGTATCACCCTCTTGGGTTTAGCATCTCATTTTTGGTAATCCCTGGGCCATTAAGTCTGATTTGTATTACTTGAAAGTAATAGTTTAGGTTTATAATATACAAATACAATTTCTTTGCACGAGCATTAATGCAAGTCTGTCCTCTGGCTAGGTATCACTCAGATTCGCTACCCCCCCCCCCCCCCCCACATGTGGTTAAGTGCTCAAGGCATGGAATTTGACTGTGCTTCCCTAGGACTGAACTTTCAATGATTTTTTTCCATTCTCGGGTGTTGCATCCCCTCAAGGAAGGTTCCTTTTCTGTTGGTGAGGGGCTCTTGATTTAGGGAATTGGATCTGTGCTCCAGTTCCCCGAATTAAGCCTGAATGCCTTCCACATTCCCCCCCCCCAGGCGCTGTATAATCCTCCGGGTTTAGCGTTTCCCCCTTGATTATAATGATAATAATCGGGTGTTGCGTGGCTTCCCAACGCAAGTTTTAGTGCTTCTAAGTGTTAATATAATGGTAGTTGCTAGACTCTTTAAAGCAACTTATCAGCGACTGCTTTTTTACACCAAATCCCCTCAGGGAAGGTTCCTTGATGTTGGTGAGGGGCTCTTGATTTAGGGAATTGGATCTGTGCTCCAGTTCCCCGAATTAAGCCTGAATGCCTTCCACATCCTCCAGGCGCTGTATAATCCTACGGGTTTAGTGCTTCCCCTTGATTATAATAATTTACACCAATTTTATATTTTTTCCTTAGTTACTCTTACCCTTACTGACTGCATACTCCTAACCCTCACTGGTCTTTGGTCTACGCAATTTCATTAGCACATCCGGCCCCTACAGCCCTGCATGACCTTTGTGGGCTTGGAGCTCAATTTTGATTGTAACAATTTTGAAGACTTTAGTCGTAATTAAATTGAAAGCGTGGAACCTCTTCAGTGTGGAAATTTACCATGAAGAGCAATTCCTTTACCATAGTGAGGAGCTTGATCCAACGAACTTGACCTGATCTTCCTTGGATCGAACCGGAATGCTCTTATTTTAGAGTCGTTGTAATTATCCTTGGTGTTTATTGGAAGGGGGGGGGGGTAGTTAAGCTTCTACAGCGCCTTTCAAATTAAGTAATTTATCTGTTCAATCTAAACAGGTTAAAAGTTCGGAGAGAGAAGGGTGAAAGTCTTGGCTAATTCCCTCCATTCTCCAGGCATTGTGTGGCCCCTACGAGTTTGGCACTTCACGATAATATATATTGTCCGGATGCCGTTCCAGATGTTTTATATAGGAACAGTTTGTGTGGCAGTCTGGTTGGAAGAGCACCTAAGGGACTAGGCTTGAAGCAGCATTTTTTTTTTCTGGGCTTCAGCCCCTTTGGCATAGCCTGACCTTACGAGTTAGCGCTTAACCATAATGCATAATCCTTAAAGGGTTAGTGTTCCCGCGCCACAAATGTTATATCAGTGGAAAGTCAAATGAGCTGGGGAAAGATTTCCTTGTGGCTTAGCGCTTCTTTTTGATTATAATAATAATAATGGGGAAAGATTGAACCACCATCCCTGTATCGCCGCAGGTCTGACTCCTGATAGCGAGTTCCTTAACAGTCGTGTTTTAAGACCCATAAAAGTTGAGCACCTCAAGGGAAATCCCCGAATGCCGTTGAGAGGCTCTTGATCCAAGGAATTGTATTTAGCCACACCTTGGCTCGAACCTAAGTGCTTCACAAGCGCTTTACCTGACTAAAAGTGGAAAAAAAAAAATATAGCGACGATACTCCTATATGTAAGGGGATGGGAGAAGAGAAGGTTCCTTGGTCAGGTGATCTTGATGTAAGGAATTAGGCCAGTGTTCCAATTCCTTGAATCGAGTCTGAATGCTTTCCATTCCGTGTCACTGTATGACCCCTATGGGTTTGGTGCTTCCCCATGAATGTAATAATGAATAGTCTTCCACCTATCTAATCAAAATACCACCCACATCCCTCTCCATTGTCATATTAATGATGAAATTTCCTTGTGAAACTAAACTCTTAGGTAGAACGAAAAAGCCCACTAGAAGCCTCACTCAAACGTTGGTAGCGCCTCTCCTGTCAATGGAAATTTGATCATGTGAAGGCAGGTCAAGTGAGGCACCGGGTTGCCATTTGGCTGGACCTCTGATGCTGGAAGTATTACCCGAGGTTTCCTCTCAAGGGAAGTTCCTTCATGCCAACGAGGGGGGCTCTTGATCCAAGAAATTGAACCTGCTCTATCCTTCCTTGGATCAAACAAATGCCTCCGATTATCCCCCCCCCCCCGGCGTTGTATGGCACCTAAGCATTTAGCTCTCCCCTGTGACAGGTAATAATGCAAGAAGTTCGTGAGTTGTAAATGAAGGTTTGACTAGGCATTGTTTCCGTTCGCCAAAGCTACAATTACCTGGAAAAACTATTGCATATTTAGTGATCTTGTTTAATCGGGCAATTCCACTGAGCATAGCTCAGTTCTTAAGTGCAGCGCTGTATAGCCCTTGTGGCTTAGCGCTTCTGTTTTATTATAATAATCAGTTCGGAAGTGCACCGGGTACATAAGAAGCGTTTTCAGGGAACCACATTACCTGCCGCAGCGCTGTATGACCCTGGTGGGTTTAGTGCTTAGTTTTGATTATAATAATACCACTACCACTAATTCTCGTCCTTGTCCCGTCCCTGTCCCCCACACCATTAACTGGCTCCCTCATTCTTTTGTAGTCAGAATGTTGCGCTGTATGATCCTTGTAGGTTTAGCGCTCCTTTTTATTATAATAATGTCTGAATGGTTATAACTATGACCATAATTTTTAAAGGGGTGGAACGGTAAGCCAGCGGAAGGCCTCGGTCAGATGACCTAAAGCTCCAACAGCGGGTCATCTAAGACCCGCGTCAGGGACACTTGTCCTGTTTCCTGACGAACCTTACCTAACCTAACTCTGTTAGTGTGACTGTAAATGGTCTAAGTCGGACCGAAACGTCGGCGTAAGTTTCTCTTTCTTATGTGCGACTTATTTTGTGTATTATCCCTTTCTTTAGATCGACTCCGACTGTCGTCCATTGCCAAAACTCTATACGACTCTTATGAGTTTAGTGCTTCCGATGAATAAAATAAAATAAGGGTCGGTAGTTTTTTATTTAGTTTATTTTGAGCTTCCCCATTTTTTCAAACATGATAAACGATCCTAAAAGGAATGTGCCTTGATGCAGTTAAGGAGTCTTGGTCAAGGGAATTATCTTAGCTGTATAATCCCTACGGGTTTTAGCGCTCTCCAATAATAATAATAATGTCGCCCCTATTTATTACGCCCTTTCCTCTCCGTATTCACTCATGGTTGCTCTTAATTGACCTCCCCTTTATTTTCACCCTGCATCTTACTGTTTTCCTCCCTCCTTGAGAAATTCCGATGATTCATGTTTGCTCTTTCCTACTTCCATGTGCAAAAGCTCAATTGCTTACTGCAACTCTTTCCTGATCGTTCCCGATCTCGGTCACATGCTATTATAGCGTACACTGATGGTTCTAAATCGCCAGATGGTGTCGGGTATGTAACAGTTTCTCCTGAACTAATCACCAAAGGTCATTCATTAGAATCGACCAATATTTTCACAGCAAAGTTATGTGCAATTCTCACACGTAGTTGTTTCATAATCCCATAGTGTATTACAAACTATCCAGAAATTCGACTCCTCTCACCCCATTTTCCTTTATATACAGCCTTGGTTATGTCGGATTTCTAGTAAGAGCACAGGCGTATTAAGCTGAGTTCCTGGACATGCCGATGTTCAGGGAAATGAACATACAGATGTGTATTAGAGATAGGATGTAGATTGCGTTAGATCTGTCTTAGGGCAATATTGTATTGTGAATTTACTCACTGGACTGTAGTAGTACTGGTATTGATTTCTTTCTCATAAAATGTACCATTGAATGGTACATATGTATGTATTTTGTA